TTCTTTCTTTCCTTCCTTCCTCCCTCCCTCCCTCCCTCCCTTTTTCTCTCCCCTCCTTCTAGATTTATACGGCCACCCAATTCACCAGACAGATTCTGGGCAATTTACAATTCCACGGAATTAATTATTGGATAGAATATAATATGAAATAAAACAATACACTGCAACATAAAATAACAGGATATAGTATTGTTAATGACAGTAACAACAGAAGAACCTAAGGAGCACATACCTTATTCAATGGTCTGACATTATACTGGCCCAATGCTTAGGGGAAGGACCAGGCTTTTAGGGTCTTGTGAGAGTACATAAGGGCCATCTAAGCCTCAAGAGAAATGATGTTCAAGAAGTACAAAAAATAAAGACACATCCCTGGACCCCAGTAGCGACACTATTTTGTGAAAGGGACCCAAAGCATTTCCACTTTGCTGGATCTCACAGGATAAGCACAGACAATTGGGAGGCAGGCAGTTCTCCAAGTAGCCCTGCTTTGTGCCACCAAGAGCTTTACATATAACAACACTCTGAATTGCATCAAGAAGCTTTTAGGGAGTCAGTGTAACTTGCAAAGCATGGTGTGGTGTGGGCACACTGAAGTGTTTCCATCATTATTAGTGCTTCTGCATTCTGAACAATTTCTACTTTTGGTTTTCAAGAGTAGCTCCAGGTCGAGGACTTTGCAGTCCTTTAGACAGGAAATGACTATGGCACGAGTGACCATGTGCAAGTTTCTTCTTCTATGCTACAAGGTACTTTCTTTGATTCCAAGATTTTAGGAAATCAGTAGATGGGATCAGTGGTGGGATTCATTTTTTTTTTACTTCTGGTTCTGTGGGCGTGGCTTGTTTGGTGGGTGTGGCTGGTGGTCATGTGACTGGGTGGGCGTGGCCAACTGGGCAAGGTGGTGCTGCGCCTTGCTGCGAGTGACGTTGAGTTGGCCATTCCCACTCAGTCACATGACCGATGCTGCAGAGATAGGGTGATTTCCTACGTACCTTCCCCCCGCCCTTGGGATGACAAAAAAAAAAAAAAAGTCCAACTAAAGATCACGACTGCCTGCCTGCCGAATTGGTTTTGTTTTGGGGTGTTTTTTTGTTTTGTTTTTTTGCCAGAAGCCTCTCGGAGATAAATTTGCACCGCCAAATCTTACTGTACCTCATTGTTGCAGCGCTGCCTGTTGCTGCTACGGCCGGCTGGCTGCCCAAGTAAAGAAGTGCACCGGCTCAGGGCGACTGTGAGGAGCAAGAGGGGAAGCCAAGGCACTCACCTCATAGCAGTCAACTTCACTCGCTCTCTCTGGTTAGGCACTCCCGGCATGCACAAGGAACGTGAAGGAAGACTTCTCGTGAATTCAGGGGTTATACCTCTCCCAATGATGAGTTGGCGGCGATCTAATGAAATATCTTCCAGCTCTTAAAAGATCGACTTTAAGAGCGCCCCCACGGAAGAAGCCGAGAATGAGAGCAAAAGTAGTGGTGGTGGGGGTGACAGAGGCGTGTGATAGGTCCCACTGCAATCCCCTCCTGGGTGACAGCCACGGCTTTGGCACCTCTTTTCCCCAGAGGCGCAGTGTCTGCCTCCCTTAACACTCCTTGTGGAGGGACACACACGCCCATCACTCCCGCCGCCGCTGCTTTTGCTCAGTTCTCGGCTTCTTCCATGGGGGTGCTCTTAAAGTTGACCTTTAAGTGGTGCTGGGACATCCGCCAGCCTGCCTGGCGCCCACCCGGAGCATGCTTTCTTCCTTCTCCTGGCGGATGCACTTCTTCCACACTGGACCAGCCAGCCAGCAAGTGACCACATGTCCCGGGGCTTCTCGCTCCCCTTATTGTAAGATGCCTGCAGCTGCTGCGTGCTTTTTTCGGTGCAGCTGTAGTCCAGCAGCCACACTGAAAAAAGCACACCCTGTTCTATATGCCAGGCCCGGCAAGTCCGAGCAGCCGGCGCATAGAAAAGGGCTGCGCTGGACCGTTGGAGAAGGGGAGCGAAGCCAGAGATCAGTAGCTGCCTCTTTCGCAATGCAGAAATCCTCCCCGAATCGGCTGGCTGGTCTTCTCTTTCTCCACCTGTTTGTTTTGTATGGCCGACGGGGAGGAGATCAGCCGGCCAAAAGGGGGGGGCTGCTGGAGGTGACCCTTTTTTGGTCTCTTTCAGGCAGAAATCCTCCCTGAATTTGCCAGCTGGTCTCTTCCTCCTCGGCCATACAGAACGAATAGGCAGAGAAGGAGACCAGCTGGCCGATTCGGGGAGGATTCTTGCGCTGCGAAAGAGGCAGCTACTGATCTCCAGCTTCACTCCGCTTCTCCAATGGTCTGGTGCCGCACTGTTCTATGCGCCGGCTACTCTGATTTGCCAGGCCTGGCACATAGAACAGGCAGTGCACATGTGCAGCAGCCCTGGGACATCTGCCTGAGCTGCGCCACGGCCATCACGTGGTAGGGAAAGCTAGGAGAGCAACCAGGGCAAGTGGGCAAACGGGCCAAGGCCGTGGCTAACCAGGGGTCACCATCAGTTCGGCGACCCACACCACATCACTGCTACCGGTTCGCCTGAACTGGTGCGAACTGGTTGAATACCTCTGGATGGGATATGCTACAAGTTTCTGCACAATAGTAGATGCAGGTGTGGGTAAATAAGAGCACTGATACGTCTTCCTTCTGATCCAATTTATGCCATCTCAAGAAACTTACCATGCGAGGATGTTGTGGCTGGAGCGGGACAAACTGGCCAAGGGCTGCCATATGCGGAGGCTGGTGTGGTGGCACAGGTGGCGGAGGGTGCAGGATATAATGATCACTGGAAATGAGCGGTGGGAATGTTTGATAAGAGACATGGAGCTGTTGCATGGCACAGGCCTGGATCAGCTGTAAGACAAAAACAGAAAGCGTCCTCAAAAGAAAGCTACCTTCAGTGCATTTAGGATCAACATGTCCACCTGAAAAACAATTGAGCTCAGCCTAGCAATAAAAAGGGAAGAATCCATTTGGCAGCAGAATGCCATCTCCAAAGATTATATTGCAGATGTTTCATTACACTACTAAGTAACATCATCAATACGAGCATGGTATTTCCTCCTTTTTCATCCTCCTTGCCTTTCCAGCTTGATGGGGTGTTGTTTTCTTTTTGGTAGTTCCTTGAGCATGGTTCTGTGCTTATTTCTCTGAAGTTAGTCCCTGCTTACCAGGATACTGGAAGCCCCCCTCTCCCACATACACTCACATGATCACAACCCTGCTCCTTGGTAACCTGTTCACCACTTACAATCGGTTGCCAAGCACCCCACAATCATATGAACATCATTTGCAATCTTCTCTGCTGGCTTCCCCAGAAAGTCAATGAGGAAGCCAGCGGGGAAGATTGCAAGCTGATGCTGCTCCTTCTAGCCACGATGACTCCCTTTTTTCTCTCAGGGGGCTGGCTGAAAGCTCTGCCTGTTCAAGGACTTACGCTGTATGTTATATCTGCTTCCTGTTTTTTTTTTCTTTTGGGTTTACTTAGTATGTTGGTAACTTAAGATGTCTTGGAGGGTTTAGTTGGTTTCTTTAGTTAATTTAACTGAATCTCATAGGATAAGCATAGAAAATTGGGAACAGACATCCTCAAAATCCAGCTCTATCCATTAAGATAATGATCAGCACCTCAATTTATACCCAGAAGTCAGTGCAGCTCACAAAGTAATGCTGAAGTAACGGTGCATCATGGTGGTACCAAGGCATGTCCGTAAGTACCAGCAGTGCCAAATTCTGGACTAACTGCAGCTTCTATGTGCTCTTCAAGGGTCCCGTAAGACCCAACTGATTAAGCAAAACCTCACATTTCAGAGGCACAATTGATACACAAGATGAATTTGGGCCAAACTTCTCCTGGCAATGGCTATCACCCCAGCCACCTTTTCACAATCTTTCTCCCAAAGGGAGGAAGTTGGAAACTCAACTGGAAATATTCAGTATTGCTGGGTTGAGTAATGGTTCTTGGGTAGCTGGGGGTGGGAGAACCACTGCTTAATTAAATACAAACAAGACCACCCTTTCATTCAAAGATGAATTAATCACGACTCCCATATAATCATAACCAGACAAAAGGACATCAAGAGTTTATAATTCCAAGAACTCTGTATAATTCTCCAGGATCAAACCTTTCCCAGGAAGCACATGAATATGTCTCAGTCAAATTCAGAGGACCCACATCCAATCTGCAACCACATTGTGATCAGACTATGTTAGGGATCTGATTTGACCATCCGTATCATATTGCCAGTGTCCCAAGATGAATCAAGCATGTGACTTCTTCTGCACGTCAGGCCCTTAATTATTTGGGTCAAGTTCATAGCTGTCATGAACCCCCACCACATGTACAAACAAGTATTGGTAATTCATGCCAGGTCATCCTCTCATTAATCAATTCCTGCTCTTTTTAAACCAAAGGACTCACAGGGGGTGGGAGGCAGCAGAGTGGATAGTGCTGTCCACTGAACATCACTGAGCATGCTGGGAGCTGCTGCGCACTACAGCCAGGTATGTGCTGGCCAGTGTGAATGGGGAAGCCTTGTGTTGTTACTGTGGTCACCGTGTAGGAGAGAGGGACAGCTCCCTGATGCACCTGGAAGGTAAGGGGAGATAAAAGCATAATCAAATCACATCCAAAGTATTTTATATTCTCCCACTAATCTTTTTAATATATGAGTGTAGAATTGACCCTAAGCAATAATAAAAAAAGGAAATGCTAGTCAGATGCAAACCATAAAAGGAAGTGATTTCAAACCAGCACAAACACCAAAGAATAAAGATTGGGGTAACAAAGGCATATAAACCTGGTGATAAAAGTTTGAGATAACCAGAACATAGTATTATAAACAATTCATTGAGTGTTCATGATCTAAAAATTGAAATAATGGGAAAATTTCTCCTGAAAAATACTCTCTTCCCAGATTCTCATGCATATATTGCTAAACCACCACCCCAGCTTTGTCTAATAATCTAATAGTCAAGTTTTTTTCTCTATTTATAAATTGTATATTCTGCATTTTCACTATTCCGTAAGAAGCTAAAGTTTTCTAATAATAATCCATTTTGTTACCTTTCCTGAAAGCAGTGCTTTTTATCTTTATTTCATATGTGTTGCTTAGCTCGTTTATTCAGTTTTCTTTTATGTACAGACAATGCCTATGATAGGTTTATATTTCACTATATTACATTAGCTTATATCTCAAATTAGGCTCAAAAGCTAACAGCAGCACAACCAGGAATCATTCTTCTTTTTTTTCTTGAAAACATTTTCCCTATGTTATTCCATCAGTCTAACACATTTTTATGATGGAACTGTAACTGCATAGTCTAAAAAGTGTTAAATCTTTTCCTGTGTATTAGCAAGAGCACTTAAACTTATATACCACTTTATAGTGCTTTACAGCCTTCTCTAAGCGGTTTATAGAGTCAGCATATCGCCCCCAACAATTTGGGTCCCCATTTTACCCACCTCAGAAGGATGGAAGGCTGAGTCAACCTTGAAGCCTGGTGGGATTTGAACTGCCAAATTGTAGGCAGCTGGCTGCAGAAGTAGCTTGCAGGACTACACTCTAACCACTGCGCCACAGAGGCTCAATTGTATTGTTGGAAGATGAACTCTTGTCAGACATATTACTGGCCTAGAGATTCAAGCTGCTAGAAAATTTGATGTTGTTGGGAGCTTAATGTAGCTAAACCAACACACATTCATAACCCAGTGTACAACTGTATGCTGCCAACTTGCTAAAAGATGGTGCCAGCCAGCAAAGAGACTAATCAGTATCAGTCAACACATTTCTGGTAGCAAGGCCAGAAACATATTTGTGTGGAATAAATTTAGTCTATAATGAGTATTGGAGCAGAGATGAGAAGCACAAGGTTCTTCACATGCGGTTGTTGGATTACAGCTCCCATAATTATTGGCTACTGTGGAAGTGTCTGATCTCAGTCCAGCAATATCTGCAAATCGATTCTTAAGAGACCTTCCCTCTAACTCTACTCAAGGACTGTTTGATGCTGTCTTACCAAGCGTTGGACAAGGAAGATTAAAGAGGGCAGAAGCCTAAATGGAAAGCCAAAAATCAAATGCTTGGACCTGCTGGAAGTTTCAGAATTCCAGGAGCAGCTATGTACATGTTGCCATAGGAACAACATTCCCACAATTATAGCAGCCATACAACTGCAGATTCATTGCTAAAAGAATACAGATTTTAAAGGGCCTGGGTGGCTTTTCCCATAATATCTAAGGTACTGAGTGCACTTTATTCTGGTTATGATTTCACTACTCCCACTCTGGTCGTTTCAGCTTTTATCAAAAATATGCTGAATTCTGATGCATACTTTTAAAAAGTGTTAACAATGTCTTCATGCTGAAAAATTGATTTCAGGCATCACATTTTAAATTGCTACAATATTACATGAAACAATAAAAATGAGAGGAACAAAACTATTTAATCACCCTTACATATATTGTTTTAAGATACCATCATATGATACCTGGCAAATATCCAAAGAATTATAAAATGTTTGTATATTCCTCTTTGTGCGAAGAAAAATTCAATCTCAAAAGCAGGATAAGTTTGACTTCACAATGGTCCTAATGGCCGATACAGAAACTTTCATTGCTTTTTGCATTCCATCACTAGCAGCAAAAAGGGGAAATTCTGTGAATGAAATGAGGAAAATGTACCTCAGGGTTTCAAGCAGAAGTGCTTCCCAACCAAAAGATATGAATCTTTCAACTGAAGATATTAACGAATCAGCTTAGTTTGTTACCCATACAAAAGCATGCTTTTTCTTATGAAGTTATAAGTTCTCTCATCCCCTGTAAGTAAAATAACCAGGCAACTAAACAGCATGTGCTGTACTTACGAGCAGCTATATATTCCCACACATGGTCTTGCATTGCCATTCTTTCAGTCAGCAACTGGATATAATAACTGCTATATCTTTTAACAGATTTAAAGGATGGTTCATACTATTGGTTATATAGCCCTTCGCAGCCAAAAGCTTTCAAAGGATGCTCAAGTCTTGGTTACATCCAACACCACCATTTTCCTTTTCAGCGTATAAGAAGGGAAACTTCTTATGGTTTTCCTATTCTTGGCCAATACAGGGTCTTCCAAATGTAGGCAGGACAATATCCCAGCTATAGGTTTCTAAATATATGTATAACACAACATCCATCTTACCTGGTCATGGAGATCCACCATGAATGGATGCTGGTGGGATGTGTGTGCCGCTGGGTGAAGCATTCGTGGTGGCGTGGTGGCCAGAACGTACACTGGGTGCTCATCTACAGAGACTTGTGGCTGTGGCTGCTGCTGCTGGAAAAAAGCCGGGTGCAAGTAGTTCTCATCCTGGGCTAGGTGAGTTTGTAGAGGTCGCTCACGTCGGCCCCAGTGGTGCCAGAAAGGAGGGCTGTGGTGCCAGTTGCGGGGAGAGAAATATAAAGGGGTGACCCTAGGGGCTGGCCATTTATCTGTAATGACCTCTTAGCTATGAATACACCCATTTTTAATGTCAAGGTTAGGTCAACATAGTAATATGTGGGGTGGAGGCAGGTCTAGCTGCTCATGCAGCAAATTAGGCCATAAATGCAATTAGCGCATTCAAATACACTGATTCTGTAGCATAACTGCCAGGATTCTGCTACGTGTCATTCCTTCAGTCTGCGGAGAGATAATGCCACAAGAAGAAATGCACAAAGCACTCCATTTCATGGATAATCTTCTGGACATGAGGAGATACCAAGCAACTGGGCAAAATCACCTCATTATCTAGAAGTAGCTATAGTCATCAAACAAGCTTACTAGGAAGGGTTCATCCACGGACATCCATACCATTTCTGATATCTGTCCCACATCAATAGTAATGAAACTGTAATAACCTGTCCATAAGTTTATAAAAGTTTTCTTGTTGAAGATCTATAAAGCTTTTCACCAAGAAACTGAACAAGTGCTATATTGGCTTTGTTATAGAAGGCAGTCACAGCAAGTTGAACAGAGATTATTTCAAAACAGCCGGAGAGAGGAAGATGTGGACCTGTTTAATACTGACTTGGGGGTTTGTGAAGAAATCTTAGAGCCACTGACTAGGCTGGGAAATCCAAAAATATGTCAAAAGTGGTAGTGAAAAAACCACTTCCATGAAGTTGCAGAGAAGTTAATACGGACATTACTAAGTGATCAAGAATTGAGACAAAATTTACATTTAATATGGAATTGAGTGTTGCTATTTTAAACCACATATGAATTCTTTAAAAACTAGAGGTGTCATCTGTAGTCATGCAACACAATCTCTGTGACATGTTTTAAGGAGGCACATCAAGCCTCCGCATACCCTGAAGGCCATAGGGGGAATGCTAGTTTGCA